GAAGAATAGTTTGGGTTATAACTGCCGTAAGCTCCAAACACTACAGTAAAAAAATGTATGATGGCCACCGAACTAGGAAGAGGAATGTTGGGTTTCTTTAAATCTCTATGATTCATTCTTCAGTCCCTAAGCTTCAAAAGAGAGTAGGCATGTTTGCTTCCTCTTTTTTTGCCTGAAATGTAATCATAAATTATAGTCATTGATGAGAATACTCTTGAAAAAATACCCAATAGGATACAATTTTTATAGAAATCTGTACTGTAATTTGCAATTAGAAATCTGGAAAATTGGTCACTATTGTCAGTCCTTATTCTACACATTTTTTTCAGAAATACTGAAAGAACTCTTGAAATGCACCTCTACTTTGGGATTTCCTTTGTAATTCTTAGCATATTTAGAAGATAGGGCTGTAGCTAGCATTACCTGTTCAGAGCATGATTGATAAGGGTGGAAGATAGGTAGTGCTGAACCTATGGCAAATCAACAATTGTTTAGTTAATAAGCTCTCCTTAGGATTGTATGCACCATTGACTAAACTCCTGTGGACAATTCCCTGGACCAATTAAATGTTTTGCAGTTTTATTATCAAGTTATTTATAATCTAGAAGGAATCACAGTAATGCACAAGCCCTACTGCGGAATGGTTGATTTTTGAAGACAAATTAACTAACAATTGAATTTAAATGTAATCTCCAGCCAGACCACAAAGGATAAGAACCATAAAAAAAATATCTGATTGGTTTTAAAACTACAATTCCATCTGCTTTGGGTTCCTTTCCTTTTTCATAAAGCTCCATAATAGGTTCCTATGGAATGTAAAGAAAAAAAGAAACCAAGATCTTCTCAGTTCATTTTCAGTCTAGATTAAAACAGATCATTCACCCATAGATTCAGAAGTGGAACTTGCAGCTTCTGATGAGGTGAGTCTGAGCTCTTTTACTTTAAAAATTAGATGGATTAACAGATTAGATTAACAGATTAACAGAGCTGGAAGGGACCTTGTAAGTCATCTAGTCCAAACCCCTGCCCAAGCGGGAGACCTTACACCATTTCTGACAGATGGCAGTCCAATCTCTTCTTGAAAGCCTCCAGAAGGTGAAGCCACCCATCAATTCCTTTGCAAGCCAAGAAGATTTTAGATTCCAAATTGTTGCTTCAACTAAGAGAGGGGAAGTAACGTAATGAACAGATAGCTTTAGTCCCAGACCCTGCAACATAGGATGCTGTTTAAATAACACAATGCTTGGTTTCCATCCTTCACCTTTTCTGTTTAGGATGATCAGGTACAAAAGAGGGCAGCAAAGTTCCACATATAAAACTAAAACTATTTTGGAAGCTGTGTTTTGTCACTCAGGTGGGAGACAAGGAGCATTCTGAAATCAGTTATGTGATACAACTAACATAGCTGTTACCTTCCTTTACATCCCACTGCTGTTTGCATTAGTGTGAGTGTAGATTGGAAATCATGAGAATACTTAAAAGAGACAGTTTGATGTGATGGTTAAAAGGCATCAGGCCAGAAATTGTGAGCCGATGAGTCTGTCTTGGACATGAACCCAGCCTTGTGATCTTGGGCTACTATCTCTCAACACTAGAAAACAGGCAAGAGCAAATCACTTCTGAAAATCTTTTAAAACTGTGTGGAATTATCCAGGCAGTCACCAGGAGTCAAGGAATGATTCAAGGTTAGGACAACAACAACAACACAACAATAAAGGGAAAGAATAAGAGAGTTGAACTTTGTTGAGCCAGTCTTTAAATTATTTGATTTTTGTTATCTTTATCTCACAATATTAACCTTCAAATTTAATATAATGAATGGGATGCTTGCAAGAAGGTCAGAAAGGTTGTTAACTGAATTTTTCAACAATGGGGAAAATATGATCACAGAACCTACAGCTGGAAGGAGAGATGGCAATGATAAATAAAAAGCAGCTCTAATAAAATAAATTTCAGTAAAGAATATTTTTTTAATTCATTAAAGAGTCAGTCTGGTCTCAGCCTAAGGATACTTTATCCAGTGTTCTAAAGATACAGAATCAAACAAAACTGGTCTGATTTAAAGGGAACAATTTGGACGGTTTCAAGGATTTGGAATACTGTCAAATGTGACTCAGATTAATCAGCTACAAGAAATTCATTTTATGAATTTTAATACGAAAAGAATAAGATTGTTGGTAGACCTAGAGTATTAGTATTTCCCATGAATCTCCAGGGGAAAATTTGAAGGAGTAGTTTATGATTTGGATTACAGATATTCCATCAGCCCTTAAAACAGAACTTGAATAAAAGAATAATAGAGTTAGAAGGCACCTTGGAGGTCTTCTAGGTCTTACTCAAGTAAGAGACCCACATGATCTCCAGGCCTTAAAATATTCACTGCCACACAGGAAATGCAAATAAAACAAAACCATTGTTCATTTTCCATGGATCAGTGGAAAGTAAAAAAAAAAAAAAAACAGTGGCTGTTAGGAAGCTTCTGTTCTGAAACCAAAAAATAAGGAAGGAATGATTTCTCAAAATACCCCTCAAGAAATTGTTCAGAAGAGACAAAATTTACGGCCAAAACCAAGAGATCCAAATAAGATGCAAATAGTACTTACTTGCTCCAATAAAGATGACTCCAGGGGGAGAAAAATTTGTGGCTCCAGTATCACTCCTTTATTTTTACAGCCCTTAAATTGAACCCCCAATGTTGTAAGTCTGTGAAGAAAGAGATTAAAAAAAAAGATTCCCCCTGCCCCATGTTATAATTTATGTGATCACTGAAATTAGGCAGCTTTGATTGACTAGAATGTAGTTGTGGCTTTCTGTATGATGGAAAGAAATGCTTAACATAAAGAAGCTATGATAGTAACATAGGGCAATTTTTTTTCCAATCAAGAACTTCAAATGGGCTATGAATATGTCCAAAATCCAGGACCCATGATTCCCATGGAATTAAACTTTGGCAAATTTTATAAAATATTTATGATAAAATGTATGATAAAGTATTTTATCACTTAATACAAAATATCATAAAAAACATTTCCTGTGGTCAATTGCTAATGATTGACTATACAATACAGTTCAACATAGGCTGCTTTCAAGGCAGAAACATTTCTGAATATCTCTGTGAATGTTAAAGATTTTTTTCACATATATTGGAAACTCTACCATTGTTGATGGCATTCAACTTGGTAAGGAAATATCTCTAAAATGGGGTCCCAATGTATCACAGTGTTAGGTATAACATTGATACCAAATATGGTTTGGGTGAATAAATATATAAAACTTAGATATCATGGTTTAAGTGCTTATCACTTTAAGCACAATGCAGCAGGCAATTAGCCGATTAAGGGTGCGGTTAGAAGTTACAATATAAGGAAGCATTAGAAGCTGGAAAGCTGTCTGTAACTGTGTGCTGCTGCGACTAACTGTGATTACTGACTGTGAGTGCCTGTGACTGAACTGTTATTGTTTGCTACTGTTTGCTGATTTACTGCGTAATTCTACTGAATATCCAGCGTTTGTTTCTCTGGAGAGTGAAACCGGAGGAGGAGAAGATATCTTTATCGGCTGATAAAGATATTGCAAGGACTCTTAACTTGGACTATACTAGTGAGTCTTACTGGATGGAAATACTGTGAATGACTTAATGGACTGAATGACAATGCTTAAACTCTAACTGGATTAAAAACTATTTAAACTACAAACAGTGTTTGTGTTCAGTGTGTGTATACTCTGGGGCCCTTCCGCTCTCCTTTGGTTGCCTGGCTTGACTACTGCTGCAATACTCTTCTAGGGGTTAATTCCCAAACCCTAACATTCAGGTTATCTGGTTATCTTTTATAGCTGTACAGCCTCTAAAAGTGAGGAGATCTGGGAGATAAAAAAGCAGATTTATCTTTATTAAAGGATTTTTTTCCATGGGTCTAAACATCATATACATTTCAGGTTTACAATCATTTTTGTAAAGCTCGTAAACCTTGCAGAATGTGAAATTATTGGGGAGAAGCGTGGTCCAAATTAGAATTCTAGACCAGTGAAAAGTACCCAAGAAGCTACATGGTAAACTTAAGAAATTGTTCTTTAAGTTCAACTTAATGAAATGATGGGATGAAAAATTGGTTGTGATTATGGTTGCACATATGATTCACAAGTTCATAAAATGTGTAGGCAGATTTGTTTCATCTCTTTTACAGCATAAATCATCTTTGACAGATACTGGTATGGTAATAATTACAGATCACATTCCACAATCTGCAATGCAAATGAGATCCTTGTTATTTCTTATCCTAACATAAACACCATTCTCAAATTAAATATATTGAATATTAGAAAGGATTTGGCATAAATCTACCTGAAACCGTTGCCCAAAGAGATTCATTTGGGACATATAGATCAATACAAATGAAGGAATTTGATGTTGGTCCAAGGATGTGGGTCTGATCAATGCAGAGTCCCATCAATGTTAACCAAGGAGTATTTGTTAACCCCAGTGTATGACATTTGTCAAAAGAACAGTTGTGTTGATTTTAGATCAAGCTTTTCAACAATTTTGCTTGGTTGTCTTGCAGAAAGTCTGGTGCATCATCAACATTTTCCCAAAAAACTAAAAAAAAAAGTCAAGCTATTGCTGACATCTAAAACCCAGAGAGTGCTTAATTTATTTGCTGAAATTGTCAATTAATAATGCAGTGAATCACTGTTATTAGGTAGTGATGTTCATAGGCGTGCTTGGAAACTTTTGGACAGTTGAGACATATTGTGTAAAAGGAAGAATATACTAGCTTAAAATCTGTAGCTGTAGGTTTCTATAAATGGGTGTGTCTGTATGCATACTGCCATATCACCCCAAAAGTAAATAAGGCCAAAGGAAAGAAACAAAAAGAGCCAAGCTGTGACCCACATTAGAAATAAAATTATCATGTACATCTATAGCCCCCCGCCAGAGATAAAAGGGAAATGTATAGTTAAATCAGATATTAATCTCTTTCTCATTCATTTTCAGCTGTGAAATGGCAAACCAGAACCAAACAGACAACTCAGAAATAACCCTTTTGATGATCACCAGTAGACCTGAATATCAGAACCTTTTCTTCCTGCTTTTTCTGTCCATTTATTTGCTGACCCTCCTAGGGAATTTTCTCATTGTCTTGCTTATCCACTTAGACAATCATCTCCTTCAGGCCCCTATGTACTTCTTCCTGAGCCATCTCTCCCTGGCTGACATCATTTTTGTTTCCACTACCATTCCCAAAATCCTGATAAATCTGATGTCTCGGACTCAGACCATCGCCTTCGATGAGTGCTTGACCCAGATGTATTTCTTTCTCACCTCTGGTAACACAGATAACTTCCTCCTTGCCTGCATGGCTTATGACCGCTACGTGGCTGTCTGTCACCCACTGCATTATGTCACTGTGATGAGCCACAAATGCTGCCTATTTTTGGTTTCTGGATCCTGGATCGTTTCCGGGCTCCACTCTCTACTCTATACCCTTCTGATATCACGCCTTTCTTTCTGCACCTCTATGGAAATCCCTTATCTTTTCTGTGATGTCTACCCTCTCCTGGAATTCTCCTGTTCTAATACAAGGCACATAAAGTTATTGGCACAGACGGAAGGGGTGATGGATTTGCTGGGGCCTTTAGCTGTTATCATTATCTCCTATGCACTAATATTCTCCACAATCATGAAAATCCCCTCAACAGCTGGGAAATGCAAAGCGGTTTCTACCTGTGGCTCACATCTGGCTGTGGTCATCTTGTTTTACAGCACTATCAGCTGCCTTTATTTCCAGCCTCCTTCATCGTACTCAGCCCAAAAAGGCACTTTTATCTCTCTCTTGTATGCAATGGTGATACCAATGCTGAATCCCTTCATCTATACACTAAGGAACCAGGAGGTAAAGTCAGCAATAGTGAGACTTCTTGGAAGGACAAGAGCTTTCTTAAGAAAATAAGAACAAGCAGAATGACATTTCCATAGTTGCTGGCTGGTTTTTTTGAGGTGGGGGGAGGAGGAGGTAGAGGGTACGAGGGCCTTTAGCCATCATCATTATCTCCCATGAAGACATATTCTCTACTGTTATCAACATTCTTTTAAAACCTAGGGGGCACAGGGCCTTTTCCCCTTGGCAGTTCTAACTTGTTGAGATAATCTTGTTCTCTGATAGTATTAGTTTCTGGCTTGCCTCTGTTTTCTCAACCCCCCAAAAAACAACAACCTTTGTCTGGACTGTGACATCTGTGTTGAATCCATTCATCCATATCCCAAGGAACCAGGACACAGAAAGAACTGCAGTTAAAATACAATAGGGATTTGTTTTAAAATAAAATAAAATTAGGAGGCATTTCCATGCATTGTTCTTGTCAGTTTTGTATCTTTCTATCACAATATCATATTTCTTAAATTAATATTATAGTACTAAAGAAAAGAAACCAGCATCCTTGGGCCAGTTTTCAAGATGGAATAACAAAACACAAAACACAATCACAAAACACATTTCAAAGTTAAAAAGAAGGTTTTGTGGAATGAAGGCGAGTCTTTATCATTTTGTTTAAGAGTTCAGGATATAATAATAGCCTGTAGTCTTATATAACACTGCATGGTGCTTTACAGCCCTCTCTAAGTGGTTTACAGAGTCAGCATATTGCCCCCAACAATCTGAGCCGCCATTTTGCTGACCTCGGAAGGATGGAAGGATGAGTCATTCTTGAACTAGTTTAGGATCAAACATATAGACTTATCACATCTGTTCCTCCCATTCATTTAGCCGTGAGCCCTAGTTACTTTGTGCTACATTGCCCTGAGGGAGAGAATAAGTGCCTTCACCAACAATTAGGATTGCAGATTAAGTGTTAACTCTAACCAGCAATATGAGAACAATTCTCAATTATGATCCAAATTATTTAGTGTACAATATCACCTTTTTTTTTCTTTCAAAAATTAACAGAAACAAAAGGTTAAGTTTTTATTTCTACTGAAAATGCAATTTCATTAGAGGGTAAAACTCTCAAGACTGAGAGAAGTACCTCCTAAAATCAAATTTGCTGCTTAATTCACAGAAGCAATTGGTGTTTGTAACTTCCCATCATCTCAAATGGTTGTGATACCAGACTGAGATGAGCCAGTGAACTAATTAAGAGTCTATAATATTATAGGTAGTTATTAGACTGGAAAGAATTGAAAGGAAATTCCTGCATAAGAGCCTTGATGGTTAGAGTGCTGTACTGCAGGCCATTTCTGCTGACTATGGGCTGCCTGCAATTTGGCAGTTCAAATCCCACCAGGCTCAAGGTTGACTCAGCCTTCCATCCTTCCGAGGTGGGTAAAATGAGGACCCAGATTGTTGGTGGCAATGGGCTGACTCTGTAAACCACTTAGAGAGGGCTGTAAAGCACTATAAAGCGGCATATAAGTCTAAGTGCTATTGCTATAACTAAGAAAACTAAGAATTTAGCCTTGAATTTAGCCAGATCTCAGTGGATGAGGGATAACTGGCAGATATAGATCTTGCTGCAAAGATCATATTGGGGGTAATGGATATAATTTGTGTACTCCAAATGATGAAAAGTCTTTATCATCAGATTTGGATTTGGATGGAGATATATATATATGATGAATCCAGTATCTCTTGATTAGAAGCTAATCATGTTTACTAACTATTGTACTGGTAGTCCTCAATTTACAATAGTTTGTTTAGTGACTGTTCAAAGTTACACCACCACTGAAAAAAGTGACTTATGACCATTTTTCACACTTAAGACCGCTGTAGGATCCCACAGTCACGTGATCAATATTTGGAAGCTTGGCAACTGACTCATATTTATGACAGTTGCAGTGTCCTGGGCTCATGTAACCACCTTTTACGACCTTCTGACAAGCGAAGTCAATGGGGAAGCCAGATTCACTTAACAACTGATAGTAACTTAACAACTGCAGTGATTCACTTAACAACTATAGCAAAAAAAGGTGGTAAAATGGGGCAAAACTCACTTAACAAATGTCTTGCTTAGCAACTGAGATTTGGGGCTCAATTGTGATCATAAGTTGAGGACTCCCTATATTTACTTATTACTTATTAAAACATATTTTAAAAATGTCTTGTTTACTGAATTTCATCTTGACACGACCAAACTGAAAAAAATCTAGCTGAGAATAATGAACCTTGTTCAGGTATCACTCTTCTCCTCTGTTCTTGCGAGTGACAAAATGTATGTAGCACCAGCTCAATCCCATCTTCATTTCTGCTTTCTTCCTTTTTGTAGCTGTGAAATGGCCAACCAGAACCAATCAGACAACTCAGAAATAAGCCTTTTAATGATTTCCAGGAGATCTGAACATCAGATTCTTCTCTTCCTGGTTTTTCTGTCTATCTACCTGTGGATCCAACTGCGGAATGTTCTCATCGTCTTGCTTATCCATTTGGAGAACCATTTAAGCCAAAACCACAGAACTTAAAGGTAGAAGAAGCTAACCTAGACAGTGGGAGAAAAGGTTGCCAAGAGGACTTTCAGGGCAAGCAAGGGCACCATCATTGCTGATGAAAGACAGAACTATATCAAATCCTTGGAAGA